TTTCTTTTCTTTTCTTTTCTTTTCTTTTCTTTTCTTTTCTTTTCTTTCTCTCATTTACTTACTCACTCACTCAGAACTTTAAGCTCTGTGGACTTCAACTTCCAGAATCCCCAGCCACCTATGCTACAAATCTCCTTAAGAGGTGCTGCAGATGTTTCCTTCCTTCCTTCCTTCCTTCCTTCCTTCCTTCCTTCCTTCCTTCCTTCCTTCCCTCCCTCCCTCCCTCCCTCCCTCCCTCCTTCCTTCCTTCCTTCCTTCCTTCCTTCCTTCCTTCCTTCCTAGAACTTTAAGCTGTGTGGACCTGAGCTCCCAGAATTCCGCAATCAGCTATGCTACAAATCTCCTGATATGCTGCTGCAGATCTTTCTTTCTTTCTTTCTTTCTTTCTTTCTTTCTTTCTTTCTTTCTTTCTTTCTTTCTTTCTTTCTTTCTTTCTTTCTTTCTTTTTTCTTTTTCTTTCTTTCTTTCTTTCTTTCTTTCTTTCTTTCTTTCTTTCTTTCTTTCTTTCTTTCTTTCTTTCTTTCTTCTTTCCTTCCTTCCTTCCTTCCATCCATCCATCCATCCAACTTTAAGCTGTGTGGACTTCAACTCCCAGAATTCAATGTTATACCTAACACTTCCTTCCTTCCTTCCTTCCTTCCTTCCTTCCTTCCTTCCTTCCTTCCTTCCTCCCTCCCTCCCTCCCTCCCTCCCTCCCTCCTCCCTCTCTCTTTCTTTCTTTCTTTCTTTCTTTCTGATTGTTGGAACAGCTGATCGTCGGGAGGAAAAAAAAATACCGTAAGGAGTGACTGGGCGGGAGGGGCGGGAGGGGGACAACGCAGTTCAGCGATGCTCATGATGTCGTGATAAGGACTGATTGGGGAGGGAGGGGCGGGCGGAGAGGGGCGGGGCCAGCCAGGCGCATGATTTGCCAGTTCTCCTAACCAGGCAGAATCGTAACAACCGGTTCTGTAGAACCAGTCCAAATCGGTAGAATCCCACCCTTGTCAATGGGTCTTGATTTTGTGATGCCCAGCCTGCGTTTCTGGGGCCTCACCCCTTTTTCTTGCCTGCCTTGTTCCGAAGGGCTCCTCAAGAACGTTGTCTTAAAACTCTACGGCAATGAGGAAGACATGGCAGCCCGACAGGCAGCTCCCTTCGTGGTGGCCAAATGTGTGCTGCACAATCGTGACGGGACCTGCCAGGGTGAGTCGCGGGGTGTGGGGTGGATGCAACGGCCTTAATCAAGGAACGACCCGCCCACGTTGACAGGGCAAGCCCCTTGCATATAGAAACAGAGAACCAACCCCCCCACTGCCTTCGAGCACTGATAAAGTTACCTAGCTGGGTCATGAAACGTCTGCAAGAAAACAACCCAGCTCAGGACCTCTCAGTTCAGCCCTGAATTACAGGTGTTCTGTTGGCATTTATCTTGGGCACATCACTCAGGTGGCCCACAAATAATGTTTGACGACTGCTGAACCTGTGGGGACTCCATGCTACCAGATACCAGAGACTAGTTTTATGTTTTTAGCTTTTGATTTGTACGCTGCCCAGAGTCGTTTCATGAAGGAGGTGGGTGGTTTCTAAATGAGACAGAGAGGGAGGGAGGGAAAAAAGAGGGATATAGATGGATAGATGGATGGATGGATGGATGATAGGTTGATTGATTGATTGATTGATAGATGATAGATAGATGATACATAAAGAGATGATAGATTGATAGATGAGATAAATAGATGATAGATAGATTGATAGATGATAGATAGATGATACATAAATAGATGATAGATAGATTGATAGATGATAGATAGATGATACAT